AATAAATAAGTGCTTTAGTCAAACAATAGCCCTCAATTAATGTTAGTGAAATAGTAATACGTTGTTTAAAGGGTTAACATAATATCGTCAACAGCAGCTCCATCATTTAGCTTCGGATGAAAAACCTGAAACTTTAATCAGTCGGTTTATATTTATGTAAAAGCTTTCAAACAAACCTTTCTCTTATTGAATCACAGCGAAGGAGCGGCGCAGCCTTATGACGTCACACGCAACGCCAAAATAAAAGTCTTTTTTTGCTTAGCTTTTTATTGCCAATAAGTGTTGCTGCACACATGACTTATTGATACATTTCTCCCTCGTTTTCCACTTTCACACATGCACAGACACATAAATATTCAGTATTTGGAGTTGATCAAAACCTTTACCCTAAACATTTTTTGGTCACTCTATGAAACGGGTGCCATTTGTGTCCGTAACATTTAATGAGCTGCATGAAGCACAAAAATGTCCTAAAATGTGTTTCCAAAGCTTAAAGTAATTAATTCAAGTGTTCTTGCTAGCATGATATATTAAAATTATTATTATTAAAAAGTATAGTTTTTTAAATACTTTTCTTATGATTACATAGCAAATTGTCCTTGCTGACTAAATTGCATTTGCACCTAAAATGTAACCAAATAATTAACTTTTTTTTCCTCCCAAATTTTTGTTGTTTTGAGGTTTATATGTGTGTTTCTATTTCCATAAGATATAGATTTTTTTGTAAATATTTCATGATTTGTGTGCGTCCCACAGTTTGATTTACCACCCCATCACATTAACTTTCATATATGTATTGTTATAATTTATGTTTTTTTTTCTGTCTTGTTTTTCACCCTCCTCTCCGTTTGCTCAACCCTTAGGTTTCTTATTGGTTTATTATTCTGTCCATCATCATTATGACGTTCTCGGTTCCACCAATCCCAGGACGAGCCGCAAGGATTTAAAGCCCCGACAGACGCGTGTGTGGTGTGCGCTCAGCCTCGGCGTACCGTTTGTGCGCCACGCAATTTGTTTGTGCAAATGCTTTATCTATTTAGTGACATATCTTAGTTACTGTGGTAATTCAAGTTTGCTTGTTGAACTTCGTTGACTTTAAGTAACAATGGTTGTTGTGTGATTCTAAACTAAGCATTGATGGACTTATCCTGTTTGTTTTAGTTTAGACTGCTGTTTTGTTAGATTAGTTTGAGTGTTTTGCCACCTGTGTATTTTGAGTTTTGTAGTTTAATTAGTTTAGTTCGGGTGTCGTATACACTGAAGATCTCTGTTTTTATTTTCTGTTTCTTTTTGATGCCTAGTTTAGACTTTAGATTTAAGGATTGTTTTGTTAATTTCTTTGATTTGGCTTACACTCGTTGTTTTTGTTTAAAGATAATAATTATAAATGTTTTTCTTTTTTTCCCCCCATTTATTATTGTTACATATTGTTTCAATTATTGAGTAAAAAGCTTAAATAAGAGTAATTGATCCTTGCCTCATTCTTGATCTGTCTCAAACATTACACCTGTCTCACTTAAATGTTACAGAATCCAACTTTAACATCATAAACACCTAACATGTATTCTTGCTTTAAATGACATTACAAAAACATAATTGACATAATATGGGCCCTGTACCCTCCAAGACTACAAGCAGGAAATTACAGAAATTCAGTTTTCTTATTTTCTTGTTTTTTCTTGTTAGACAGGGCCCGTCAAGCTCAACCCAACCACCTTGCCATGCAAAACAGATAGGGTAAACTTATTTATTACATTTTATAAAGCAAAGAAGAGTAAATTTTAGATTGAATGAATGCATGCTAAGTGAGGAACTTGACAGGGAGATTTGTGGCCATTTTTGGATGCACTTTACCACCCTGTCACATTTTATTAAGGCATATGATGGGGTGGTTCTGCATCCTATTTGAATGTAAAGATGTATGAAATCAAAGAGGGGCGGATGCAGTGGCGCAGTAGGTAGTGCTGTTGCCTCACAGCAAGAAGGTTGCTGGTTTGAGCCTCGACTTGGTCGATTGACGTTTCTGTTTGGAGTTTGCATGTTCTCCTGTGTTCGTTTGGGTTTTCTCTGGGTGCTCCCGTTTCCCCTACAGTCCAAATACATGTGGTTTAGGTTAATTGGGTAGACTAAATTTTCTGTTGTGTGTATGGATGTTTCCCAGGATGGGTTGCGTCTGGAAGGGCATCTTCTGCATAAAACAAGTGCTGGATAAGTTGTCAGTTCATTTTGCTGTTGCGACCCTGGATTAATAAAGGGACTAAGCCTAAGAAAAAATAAATGAATGAAATCAAAGATTCTAATATAGGGCTGATCGATTAATTCAGTAATTTTCTTTTAATTTAACCCTGTTTGGCCTGTCACACCTGTCATTATCCTTCTCTCAAACATTCATAATGTATCTGTTGTTAATAAAAAATTTTACATTTTATAACATAATTGCAGACAGATTTGTTTCAATCAAGAGTAGCACACAGTTCAGATTAAACATTATTGGACATGCAGTGCTCAGCATTCATTCTTTTTTGGCTTGGTTCCTTTTTTTAATCTGGGGTTACCACAGCAGAATGAACCATCAACTTATCCAGTATATGTTTTACGCAGCGGAAGCCCTTCCATCATGGGAAACACCCATACTCATTCACACACACACACACACACACACACAGACACTAAGGACAATTTAGCTTCCCAATTCACCTATACCATGTGTTTGGACTTGTAGGAGAAAACCTACACCAACATGGGGAGAACATGCAAACTCTACACAGAAATGCAGCCTGATCCAGCCGAGGTGGTCCATCTTACCTCAATGGTCTAATTTTAAATACCCCAAGATAAAAACAATAAAATTTTAACTTCATAAATGACACTGTTTAATGGTTTACACTGGTTAAATTACTGTTAAAACACATTGTCCTTACCACCCTGTTACAGTGAACAACCCCCCTTACAGCAGATGCTACTTCATCACACTGTCATCTTCTTAAAGGTTTATGGAAAAGAAATAAAAAGAATGAAACGTGACATAAATGAATGTTGAATGGTGTTCTTGCATTGTGGGTATAATAATAAAAAATGTAAGTTGATTTGTATTTTTTAAGAGAATTTGTTTTTTCAGTGAAAAAATGAGGCAAAAGAGATGTCAAATTTATTTTTCAAAGTAAAAAAAAATGAATAAACTACAGACTTTCTATTGATATCTGCATATAAGAGGACATTTTATTATTTGGAAAATGTTTTAACTTAAAAAGCTATTTGTTATTTTACTACTGTAATATCATGCATATTGTCCGTAATGGTGTGGAACAAGAGAGCCTCTCTTGCCTAAGGAAAAGCAATATAATTAATAAGGATTTTGTGCCTAAGGTGGGAATAGCTGTTTTGGAGGATGAAGATATCTTTCAAGTTTTAGTTTTTTTTTTTTTTTTTTTTTTTTTAAGTTTGTACTTTATGAGAATTTTGAAAATTGCAATGTGGAAATGGCACTTGTTTCATAGGAATTGTTGTCTTTTATTATCTGTATTCTATGTTTCTTGCCATTCTTTGGCTATATCTTCAGTAATAATGAACTTTACCTTCACTTAAAGAAGCAGTAAAGGGGTAGTTTACATGAAAAAAATCACAATTCTGTCATTTACTCATCCTCAACTTGATCCAAACATGTTTAAGTTTCTTCTGCTAAATGCAAATGAAGATATACTGAAGAATACAGTGGCAAACACACACACACACACACACACACACACACACACACACACACACACACACACACACACACACACACACACACACAAAAATAAAAAAACACTATGCCACTATGGTTCAATGCCACAAAGTGTTGTTGGGACTCGATTACAATTAAAACACTAACATTGACTGTTTTGACAATGTTTTTTTGTTCCTTTTCTGGACTTTAAGCATCTTGGTACTCTCAGATTTCATCTAAAGTGTCTTCATTTGTGTTCTGAAGATAAGCAAAGTTCTCAGGGGATTGGAAAAACAGGGGGCGGACAATGCCAGAGTGCCTGGTGTACACCCTAGACTGCATTAAAACCCTAGAAGCCTATGAAGTAGTAGAAATAGGGAGGTAGATGTCATAATTATGAGGATGAGATTTGGATATTAATAGTAATGTCTTTTAGACCTGCAAATCATCATAAAGTGGATTAAAAAAGTTTTTCAAAATTTTTCTAAAATGTTTAGATTAAAGGTTTTGATCAACTTCAAATACTGTTTATGTGTGTGTGTGTGTGTGTGAGAGAGAGAGAGAGAGAGAGAGAGAGAGAGAGCAGATATAGTGGAAAGTGAAAAACGAGGGAGAAATGTAAATAAGTTATGACTGCTGTGAATCGTAAAAAAAGCTAAAGACTTTTATTTTGGCATGACATATGACGTCATAAGGCTGCGCCACTCCTGCGCTGGGATTCCACTGGAAAAAGGTTTGTGTTTAAAACTTTTACATGAATATAATCCGATTGATTAAAGTTTCAGTTTTTTATACCATATGCTTAATTATGTACCTGCTGTTGACAATATTATTTAAACCCTTTATACAACGTAGTACTATGACTGACAGTAATGAAGATCTATGACTCACAGTAATCAAGGTCTATTGTTTGAATGTATGAAGTTAACAGAAACGTGTGTAATACGTGTTTTAATGAAGTTTTAATTTATTAAATAGCATAATGTCATTCCATTTGAAGTGTACAAGAAATGGATTACTAGTTTTAATCAGGTCATTTTTTCTTGCTTGGACTTTCTCTTCTACTTGATTTAGTTTTGTTAATTACTCTCATACAAAGAAACTGTTGAAGCAAGTGTTGAAGAGAAGTTGTTTTATTTATTTTAAACAGGACATTTTTATTGTTTTGTTAATTTTAAACAGGATAAAGTGTCCAAACGCAGAGAAAAACTCCTGCTGAAGCGACTGATCTCCACACTGTTATAAAGATGGCGTTTATTAAAGAGGAGAGTGAAGATGTGAAGATTGTAGAAACAATTAGAGTCAAACATGAAGATCTGCAGGAACAAACAGGTTGGTTTTCATACTGATATATTTTAATAATAAGAATCCTGAATTAAATCTATCTTGCAGCCCTGAGTGTGCTGCCTAGTTCTCTTAAATCCACATAAGCACTCATTGAAAAACAGGAATGAGTTTATTTCTTGCTACTTGTTCTCATGTCTTTTGTCAATAGTTAAAGTCTGTTTTATATTCGCGCATTCTGACTTTCCCCTTAATAATATAGTTTCATAAAAGTATTATTTGAAAACTCTCAAATAGCGAAATCATATCTGCTTGTTAAGTGGTGACATGGTGGTGGAGTATGTAATACTGTTTCTGGGTCCAAGCCGCCATTCATTTGAGTGGAGAAATCATTCGTTTATGATCACTTTTTATTCATATCACACATTAAAATTAATTTTACATAAAGTCATAGTGTACACAACAATCTCTGGGCTTGCTGCATAACAAAGACCTAAATTTAAACAATTTATAAAAAATGAGTCACTTTCTGGCCATTGGATATTAGACATGGGCATATATATTGCGATTGTAATTTTCAAAAGTATTAAATCGATTTGTAAACGTTTAATATTACCATTTCATGAGTTTTCCCATTCAGTTGAATAGAGTGCTTGGACCCGGAAGCCGCTCCGAGTGACGTCACACTTAAAAAACGGATTAGCAGCCATTGAATATCAAAATACAACAATGTGCACAGTCAAATAAACAGTGTTAATGTTGTTTTCAAGTAACACTTGCATGCTAATTCCGATCGAATATTCAAAGTAACATGGTAAACAGTATAGAGACTTCTAAATGAACGAATGCGCGAATATAAAACCAACTTTACCTCTATTGAGTGTGCTGCCTAGTTCTCCTAAATGCACATAAGCACTCATTAGCTGCATTTCCACTGTCGGGCCAGTGCAAGCCAGGACTTTTATCGGGCCGGGCCAATCGCCTGGGAGGTTGAGCAGTGAGGCCGAAATCATGTCGCGTTTCCACTGTCGGGCTAGCAGCTCACAGCGTGTCACGCAAACCCTGCCCCCAGAACGTCCCCCGAATCAAATGTCACACAACCTTCCCACTTCAGCAGGAATCAGGCAGATAAAGCACACCATCACATCATCCCAAACCATTAAAATAAAGATAATCGAAACAAACAAATGACACGTTACTGTACAGCAGTACATGAAATGTCTCTACACACATGTCTGTGTGTTTCCATTCATCATATTCATTAACTCGCCAACCAACTGTTGGCATCGAAATCGAGTGGTCTCGCCACTAACGGAGGGATCCAGGGCAGGGAGCGCACCAATCCATAATATAAAACCACAGAAATTCTTCATTATTAACTTGGTAGAAAATGTATTTTATAACATCCTCGTTTAGATAGACGCTGTCAAACATTCAGCCCAAATGCTCCGGAGAGACCTGAAACATAAATTTTTCCCTACAGGCCATATGACACTTAATAGGGGATTCCCCTTTACTTAAGGATGTTGCATGTTATATCTTATGTAAAGGAAAGTGTTAAGTATTTTAGCACATACGAGCAAGTAATAAAATATAGCCTATATTTTGTTGTGCTCAGCAGCTATCCACTAATAAAGCTCTTCATGCATAAAAGACAAAAAGATAGCCTAGCCTACAGAAAAAAAGGTCGCCTAGTTTCTGCTTTCACTCACCCAAAAAATGCTCTGTTTGCATGATGTGATTAAAATCATTGTATCCAAATACTTAATAAATAATATTTCAAACCTTCTCCAGTGTTTATTGTTTATAAAAAAGATCTAAAATCTTTTTTTCAGAGGGGCCTTGGTAAAACGAAAGTTTAAAATGGCTTTAAAACGGTTTAATTTATGTATTGTATACATAAATTGGTTTAGCTTTTCATAGTTTTAAATTGGTTTATTTATTTAATGTGATTTTATAATATGCAATATTTGTAATTCTTTCAATTATTTCAATATAGCTTTGGCTATTTTATCTAGAAATGGCACTATTGTTTTGAGCCTACAAAAGTAGACATGAAATTTTTTAAGTTTTATGTCTTTCTGTTTATTCATATTGTGTATTATCTTCAAAATAAATAACAAAAGAAAGAAGCCGCTCGCAGCATCAACAGAGCGGTGAAGTGAGCACACTTTTGTTCGGTCTCACATTAACATACAGGCATCTAAACGTGCACAAACACAACTTTTAAACTTGACAAAAACTCTTGAAAACATTTACTGTCTGCTGTGTTTTTAATATGGTGTAAAGATTATCATGCATTACTGAAACATCGGGGAGGAAAAAGTCACTTATAAATGAAAACTTTATTTATGCAATAGCCTTACATTTAAAAGAGAAACATAAGGGCGATCATTCACAAAAAGACCCCAGCCTATAAGGCTAGATGTTTTCTTTCCCTTATTTATTTATTTGTTTGGCGCATGTACTCATGTGTGATCGGAAAACTATGTCCGCACTCCGCCTCTCCTTTCACTCCGCCCGAAGCCCCAACTGGCCCTCTTTGGGCCCACTTTGGCTCGATTAGGCCCCAGAAGTGACAATGGAAATGCGACTGGCCTTGGCTCACTCTCTTAAGGCGCGATAGGGGAAATGCAGCTATTGAAAGACAGGAATGAGTTTCTTTCGTTACTTGTTCTCATGTCTTATGTCATTATTTTTATGTATTATTTGTCTCCCATTTTCTCCACCTTCTTAAGGTTATTGCTTTTTTTGTTCTATTACTTTTTTTGTTCTTTTTCTTTTACTTTTAAAGAGTTCTTGAGCACTGGCACTATATAAAATAAATAAAAACAATAAATTAAAACAAGTTTAACTGAGCTGGTGATATTTGACCTACAGTATTCTCATACAGTATTCTCATACATACGAAAATATCTGTTATTACGGTGATGGTGTTGGCTTAGTACTTTCCATTTGCATATGTCACGTTGATCACAATTCCCATTTTTTTCATCAACTTTATGGGATTAAACTCGTTTCTAGTAGTTGTTACTAGTTCTCACAGATAGTATTTGAATTACATCATTATTATAAAAACTAATTACCAGGGCTATTTTAAACAGGGTTTCCGCGGGGTCTTAAAATGTCATGAATTCCAAAATCCACATTTCAGGCATTAAAAAAGTCTTAAATTTACTGAAATATTGTGTTGCAGGTCTTAAATTTTTTTCAATTCTTTGTTCATGTTTTGGTACCAAATCTGGCCAAAACCAAAACAGTCACCAACAATCTCAATAAAACTTTAAACGTTTCATTCAAAAAGGTCATTTTAACTCTATCATATTGGTTTAATTATTTTCCTCACAATAACATTTGTTTAAGCGTACTTCATGTATTTATTGCTGAGGACATCGGCCTGGACAGATTTATGTATATAGATTTAGTTTATTATAGTCTTTAAAACATTTGTTTATTTTTTTAATTTAATTTAAATCAAGTGTATCTTGGAAAAAGTGTGTGGATACAAGTAGAGCTTACTTGTTTTACACAATATTTAAAATATTTTGCTAAGAAATATCTAAAACGTTTTAATTTATTATTATTCATTTATTATTTTATTAATAAATGTATTAAATTATAATATTTTTTGATAGGACAAATAAAAATCTTTTTCATCTGGGCCAATTGAAAAATTCCTTAGCCTTATGAGTCTAAAATGGTATAAAAATTCTTACATTTAACTTTGTGAAACCTGCAGAAACCCTGGTTTAAAATACGTCAAAAAACGTGGATGCCCCCAATTTTATGTATGCTGAATGAAATGGACACTAAAATAATTAATTATTATAAAACATTATACAGTAATCTAAACTATATGATGTTGCTGTGGGATGACAGGAGGCAAAACAAACAAATTATAGTTGAACAATAACGTTTAGCAGTGCACTGACTACAACTGGCCAATAAACTAGTCTAAAAATGACATTTGCTGCTTAAGAAATGGATTACAGCTGATGATAAGAAAAAACCCTGGGTCATTCTAATGCTGCATAAACAGAATCCTGGGTTATCTGTAATCATGTTCCACACTGGTCATGCTATACCTGAGGTTAAAAAATAATCCTGGGTGTTCATTAACAGATGTTTTTACATTCCTAAACACCAGGTTAACATTATTTATTTGTATATTTACATTGTCACTGTCCCTGATTGTACAATCAGCAGGTCACCTTTTTAGATGGCATTTCTGCATCTTGTCGGGTATAAAAAAAAATGTCACGACATAGGTCTTCATCTAAGCCTCAGAACATGCACAAAGGAAAGAAAACAAAGACAAAAGTACAAAGCGCAGGAAAAAGGGCACTCCCTGGCCTTTCTCTTAATTGACATCAGCGGAGACTCGTTTCTTGCTGCATTTGCGTATTGTTGACAGACTCAGAATTATTTTATTCGGGTCCACTTTTGTAGTGTTTTCATTCATTTATCTCCTATCGCTATTTCAATGAGCAAACTCGGAGCACTTCACCGGCGGTGACTCTCTTCCCAGGGGATGCTGAGCTCGCCCAGCATACTGAACATTCTGTAACTGTTATATTGCACTTTGTAAAGAAACTGGTCTGGCGGATATAGCGTTTTGTGAAAAAATACATTTTGTAGTAGGCCTAAAATGTACTTTCTTAAATGTTATTAATTGCAGCAATTCACACATAGATTAAGGTACATCTGAACGGTGATTTCCAATATCAAAATCCAAATGTCAAAAAATGGCGCTTATCGGGTTTTGCAACCAAACTCTTCATTTATTTTCTAGTTTGTTTGTTTGTTTTAGATTTTTGTTTCTTTATTTTCCTGATTTCTTTTTTTTTTTTTTTTTTTTTTTACAAATGTCATTTGTACATATTTAGGATAGACTGTAAAGAGGAACGGGAACTGTCAATAAATTACATTTTGCACATGAGTGCTCTGCCATATTCTTTGTTACCTGTATTCCATCATGCCTCGCCACACTCTCCCTTGTGTGGTTTTAAACCTTAATGAGTTTCTTGATTCGGCTGAACACAAAAGATGTGAAAAAACGCTGGCTTTCTTTGTGTTCCAGAAGAAAGAAAATGTTTAAGACCACATGGCGGAGAGTAAATGTTTAGGTCATTTTTGAGAGAAACATCCATGTCATGCTTGTCGCTTTGTGCCTTCATACTGAAGTAAACTTAAAATTTTAATTTTTTTTTTTAAGACCTGATGGTGATGAAAAAAGAGACTCATCAATGGAATGAATTGGAGAAGAAACAGCAGTTTGAGAAACCCCAAGAAATAACGACTGATGAAAAACCCACACTGACTAAAAAGACTTCATCACACAGAAGACCTCGAAAATCCAAATCTGCATGTAATTTCACTTGTCGTCAATGTGGAAACTGCTTCAGCCGAAAACGCACCCTTGAAGTCCACATGAGAATTCACACTGGAGAGAGACCTTTTACCTGTAAAGAGTGTGGGAAGAGTTACAGTCAAAAATCAAACTTTAATGTTCACATGAGAGTTCACACTGGAGAAAGGCCGTACTCATGCCAACAGTGTGGGAAAAGCTTCTATAATACAGGAAACCTTGCAGTGCACATGAGAATTCATACTGGGGAGAAGCCTTACTCCTGCCATCAGTGTGGAAGGAGTTTTAACCAAAATGGCACCCTTGAAATCCACATGAGAACTCACACTGGAGAGAAACCTTTCATATGCACAGAGTGTGGTGAAGGTTTCATATGTCAAAGCGCACTCAATTATCACATGATAAGTCACAGCAGAGAGAAGCCATTTCCATGTGATCAGTGTGGAAAGAGCTTCATATGTAAAGCTAGCCTCATGAACCACATGAATGGTCACACTGGAACCATAGTGATGTGATCAGTGTGGAGAGAGTCTCACATGTACAGACTCCAATAAGAAACACAAGATGATACACTAAGGAGAGGATTGTTGTAGATGCAGTGAGTGTGGAAAGGACTTTAATCATAAAAGAAGCCTCAACACTCACATGAAACTTCACAATGGAGAGCAGAGTCCTCAAAATTGAGACCTTAGGTATTCATTACTTACAATTTAAGGCAACCAGTTTGTGTGTGTGTATTTATATGAAACATTTGAATTTTTCTTTTATTAGGTAGCCTACTATGTTGGGTGTGCAGTCTGAAACAATTACAATGACATATCATAAAAAGGCTTCTTTATTTTACTCTTAGTATGTCTATACCTCATCTTTGCTATGACTTCACATGTAAATCACTTGCGCTTCATCTGCGTCTGCTTACTGCACAAGCTGAACACTCCCCTGCCCCCCAATTCCATGTAATGTAACCATTGTGAGGGTGCAGGCGAGATGTCATTTTTTGAGAGACACTCAAATACATCACGTACACTGTGTGCAACATCTATAAGTCATGTAAATCAAACTAAAATAAACATCATTTGATTATATGGTTTGGAATTGGATGTTTTATGAGATTATTTAAATTTTTTTGTGATTATTTTGCATTTCATTAAGAATTTTGCAGGATCTCAAAAATTAGCATCTCTGTTGATTTTGTGTTGGATTCTGCTTTAAAAATAGTTGTTATAACATGTATTAAAAATTTAATAGACCTAATGCTTTTAATTTGTGTAAATTTACTCCACTTATCTTTTTAAGTGCATTAAAATACATACAAAAGTAATACGCAGGGTTTTTTTTTTATTCAAATTTCCTTTCAAAATACAACAAAACAAAGCAAAAACTGCGTAATACACCTTAAAAATCAGTTTGCCTACTTTTCTCATATGTGCGTCTACTTAAACAAGAGCTAATAACCTTGACCCCAGTTTTAAATGCTTAAAACTCACAAAATATGTTGTTAATACCTCTGAAAGAACATGAGAACATGAAAGCTTGTTTTAACATCTGGACTTAAAGCGATAGTTCACCTAAACATGACAATTTACTCACCCTCAAGTTAAGTGGTTCTTTTTTCTGTTGAACACAAAAGAAGATATTTTGAAAAAATGTAACCATTGATTTGGTTAAAGTGACAAAAACCATGGAAGTCAATGGTTGCAGGTTTCTAGATTTTTTCCAAATTATCTTTGTTTGAGTTCAACAGAAGGATAAAACTCAAACCGATTTGGATAAAGTGAAGGATGAGTAAAAGATGACAGAATATAAATTTTTCTTTGTTTGAACTATCTTTTTAAGCACAAGAACATATTGTAGAACACAATGTACACTTACGTAAGTGAAAATGTGTTCATATGACTTCACAGAATAAATTTTTGCTGTTGTGAATAAAAGTACATAAACTGAACAAAATTTCACTTTGTGCCTTTTTCCAAAATACAATGAGAAACAAATTAGGGCTGCAACAACTAATCCTTTAAAATCGCTTACTAAATCATTGGCAACGAGTTTATTAATCAATTTGTTGTGTCATGTGACATGGAAACGTTTGATTATTAAAAAAACTTTGAGCGGCGAGCAGTATGAACGCACTCTGCATCTGTTGTGCACTGATGCAGTTCGGCGCCTTATAGACAGGATGAAGCAAAAGCACAAGCGGAGGTACTGTTAGAGGAAAGATAGATACATGGCGAAGGTGTAAGGGTCTGTCTATTATTCAACCTGATTACTTTATGTGTTGTGATTTGGTCTAATTTAGATCGATTAACCTAATAATAAATTCTTATTTTCAGTTATTGGTTCATCTTTTACCTGAAGTCGCTTAGAGTCAGTATGCTGGCCAGTTACATCTGCTCACGGACACATCCTCACTTGTTCTGGTTCTTGGATAAGAGGATATAACTGTAGACTAATTTCTTTTAAAGGTGCAGTAGGTGATCTTCCACAATGCTAACAGCTTAGCATAATTCTCTGAATCAAAGTCTCTCCTCTGCCGTCCAGAGCCATGTCTCCTGAAACAGGACCACACTGCCCTCTGCCTCCACTCTGCTCTCCTCCACCTCAGCAATTTCCTCCACGATGCTGAAGGGGCCCGTGGTACGATAGATGCACCCTTCACTCTCCCGCGTCATGATGTTCCTGAAGACGTAGGATCTGAAGCATTTAGCCGTATTGACGTAGGTGTCCCAAAGCGTCAGCTTAATTTCACCAGTGAAATCGCTAACCCACAACTCCTTCAGCTTGCAGTCAGTGCCGTTCGCGCTGACCACCTTGCTCATGATTCCGTCTCGTCGAACCCGAGGGCGCACTTCTTCCACCTATAACACCAAACAAAGGTTAAGTGCGCTGTCCGCTTTGCAGTTGCCTCAACAAACTGCAACAAGACTCTCACCTTTTGCCCATGACCAAGCGCCTTGACCTCGGCAACGGTCATCTTCTTGCTGTCTGGAGGTGTGCAGTGCAGAAACGGCTCCACCAGCCTCCACGCTGGTGCTCGCGGAGCAGATGACGTCGAACCCGTGCGGATCTGAGAAACTTAAACAGAAAGCAAGAGCGCCGTTAGTCAAATCTAGTCAGCGATGCCACAGCACAAGTGGTGCTGCTGTCAAGACTGATCTGCGAGAAGGGTGAGGCCGGGCTTACTAAGGCTGTGTCGGACGTTGCGCAGACATACATCGTTGCTGCTTCTCTTGGCTCGGTTGAACACAGCTTGCTTCTCTAGGGCGAACACCACCTCTCTGTGATATTTCTCTCTGGTGCTCTGAATCATTGCGGTGAAAAAAAAGGCTGTTTCGCTTTAACAGGACTGGCCATGTTGCTATGCCGTTGTAAGCTGGATGAATGAAGTTGACCAAGACCAGTGCTCTGCCGCTTATGCCGAGTTCAGACTGCATGATTTTCAAACTATTCTGTCACAGATGTTTTCACACTGCATGACTATCTGGGCTAGCGTTTCGTCGCTGCTTTGTTTACACTGCAAGATAGATCGGCGACAGGGACATTCACATTGCATGACTTTACTATAGGAAGAATCTCCGTCAATCTTCCGTTCAAACTACGTTTCACAGCCAAAAACATGTAGTATATCTTTTATTATTAACTACATAATGAGAACGAAGCCTTTAATGGGGTAGAACACGTACATGTTTGCTCACCTGGGTTTAAAGGGAATTAGCCATTTCTCCTCAACGTTGATAATAAACTAATTTCTTTCTGTATGAAACGTCAAACAGACACAGTTGCTCCTGAGTCCTGTCAAACCTCCACTAGTTTCCCCTACATTTCGTGGGTCCAAATAAACCTGAAAATGAGCGCCTTTAACTTCCCTCCAGCCTCCCGCTGGCCTGCAGCATGTATACACACAAGCACACGCAAGTGAAAGCTGCTCTCTCATTGGCTGTAGGCGATCGCTGATGTTATTTTCAGTCAAAACTCAATTCACACGGCATGATTTGAAACGCTGACAGCTCCAGATATTTAGCATGCCAAATATCTCACAGGCATCGGTGACTCATCGGCGATTCTCTCAGATCGCGTCTTTTATCATTCATACTGTGTGATTGTCACTCACGTGCACGAGCAGCGATTTGCCTGTGATTTCAGGCATTTGTCGGCGATTTCTCAAAACCTGTCGGCGAGCCAAAATCGGGGCTAAAATCACGCAGTCTGAACTAGGCATTATATTTGAGTAAACGGCGCAGGGGGTGAATTTTTATAGGCAACCCACCTCCCGTATGCAAATGAAAGCCAATGGAATGTTGACAAAGCCTCTTTGATTGGCTCTCACAGAGCTGCAGAAATCACCCTAAGCGCAAACCTATTAACAGCCTAATGCTTTTACGGTTAAATCTATGGCCACAAGTAGCCATGCATAATATAGCTTTAGGTAATTATTTTTTATAATGAATACCATTGTTATTCTCGCATTTCCAAGTGTTAAAGAGGGGTGGATGCCTCCTCTAACTTGAATATTGTGCAGATGTCTTGTGTTTTCCCTATTAAAGACAAAGACATGCCAAACCACTATAACAGCATATAGCAAACATAACACACACAGACACACAAATAAGTAAGAAATATATTTCATATTTTCAAAAATTTATTTGATATTTTAAGGAATGTATTTGTTATTTGACGTTTTAATATTCGCTCAGCCTTGGGTGACTACAGGCCTATATACACCAGCAATACAGACCACCCTTTTCATTTTGAATAGGCCTCGGCAATGGTCACTTGGAATTTCTGTGTTTGCACGTTCTCCCCGTGTTCGCCTGGGTTCCTCCGGGTGATCCGATTTCCCCAACAAGTCCAAGGACACGTGATCAGGTGAATTGGGTATGCTAAAATTGACCGTAGTGTATGTGTGTGAATGAGTGTGCATGGATGTTTCCCATTGATGGGTTGCAGCAGGAAAGGCATCCGCTGCATATAATATATGGTGGATTAGTTGATGGTTTATTCCACAGGGGTGACCCCAGATTAATAAAGGGACTAAGCCAAAAAGAAAATGAATAAATGAGCAAAGTTCAGCACAAAATACTGCAAGATGTTTTAAATATAACAAAAACAATGAAATTGAAAGTTCAATGCAAAGAGAGACCTTGGTTTTTACAGAGTTAGCTTAGCAAAGCCTACAATGAACAAATTTTGGGGACTGCAAAAAATACTTCCGGCCCTTGTGAGATCACAAAGGTTCGTTTACTGCGCACACACACTGTGCAGCTAAGGGCCGTTGCCAGAGGCGCTGCAACGTTACAGCAGAGGGAGAAAATGCCATCCTGCTGTTTTCAAAGAGCTTCTCTGTTTCTGTATTTGGGCTTCCAAATGACACGACACAAACATAAAAGTGCTTACAGTTCAATATTAATTATGTTTCAGAGAATTATAAAATACATAGCAAGCATGATTTGACAAAACAGCTTCCAGAATCTCCCAGTTCAGTGCTGGATTCGGTTAAAATCACCTCAAAGATGGAGCAACTACAAGGAGACGCTGTGAACTCTGAGCCACGACCTGCAAGTGTTTTTATTTGTTAAAATTAATCTTGACATGTACAGTGTCTAGCCTTAATTGTATGTTGTATCAAAGATGTAAACGGGAAATGATGTTTGCCACCGCCAGAGGTGGGTAGTAACGAGTTACATTTACTTTGTTACATTTACTTGAGTAAAATTATTGGGTAACGAGTACTTTTTGAGTATATTTAAATATGTGTACTTTTACTCAAGTAAATTATTAGAGAAAAATCATTACTCTTCGCTACATTTTGCAGCGTTCCTCCGTTACTGTCAAATGATAATAAAAATTATCCATATGTATTGTTTGCAAATATTGCAAGGCGCCCCATTGGAGAGGTTGTGTCGCGAGAGGTTGCTATAGAGACACGCCTCCTGCTTTCTGTTAGGGCGGGCGCAGCCGCGCCTGTGTGTGTTGAATGATGGCTGACGAAGGAGATGTGCGAGTTATACTGCGGTCACGCCATGGCCATTTGTGGTTCCAAGAAGGACGATCATACTATCTGTGTAGTGAGTTTATCGGACCAGTTCAC